ACGTTCACGCCTGTCGCCCGTTTCTCAGCGTTACCGTTACGTGGGGGGGGTCGGGGGGGCAACATGCGTCACGTCCAGAAGAAAAAATAGAAGGAGGCCTCCAGATCTGCAACATGGGTAGCCAAGCCATGGAGCGAGACCTCAGTGGCGTCGAACTTCGCGAAAGCTCGACTCAGGCCGCTCTCGCCGCCACGGGCAAGGCGAACTGCGATCCGACACAGCCGCTCGATGCGGGCGCGGACGCCCTCCTGGCAGGGCGAGGCCGTCGACCGCACAGGAACCTCGGTGGGGGCGAGGCTGGGCCGGCCCAGGGTCAGCCAGCTTAGCGCAACAATGGCATGCCGAACTAATGCGCGCCGCAGCCGCCTTTGCTCCCGCGCGCGGTTAACCATAGCAGTCGGAGGCGGCATGACACGCGGGGCCGCAGGGCACGGCCAGAGATCGCGGGGAGCGGGCTTCCCGAGGGGCCCCCCCAAAGCCAGCGGGCGCACAAACGAGCGCGAGAAAGATGCCAGAGAACATCGCACCCCCAGCCCAACTTGGGATCAAGCAGCAGCCCAGTGGGCGATGTCGATGTCCGCGCCAGGAGACAGGCGCAGCAAGGCCGACAGGTCCGCACAACGAAGGGCGCGGCCCGCGTGGCCGACGCCAAGGCAGGAGCAGATGCTTCAGCTGGCCGCCGCCCGGAAGCTGGAGCCCGGGATTCTTCCACGGGAGCAGCGGAGCGAGGACGGCCCGAGGGCCGACGAGACGGCGGAGCTCGCTCAGCGTCCGAGGGGGAAGCGATGACCTGGGGGGCCAAAGTGGCTGACGGAGAGAGGCGACCCCTGAGCAGATGAGCCAAGAGCGCGCCGGCGGAACGAGTTTCCCCCAGCGGCGCCGCAACAGCCCCGCTGGAGACGCGCAGCCTTACCTTCGAGACCCGGCTCGGTCCAGGCCCGCCCGGCAGCAGCAGCGGGCGACGCAGAGGGCCGAAAGGGCCAGCAGAGAGGGGCGGAGCCCGAGCCAATGGGCCTAAATCGCGCGGACGGAACGCACTTCCCCCTGCGGCGCCGCAACGGCCTTGCTGGAGACGCCCACTCCCACCCTCGCGACCGTGCTCAGCCCAGGCTCGCACAACTGCAGAAGCTCGGGCAAAGGGAGCCGAAGGGCGAGGTGAGAAGCGTCGCGCGTCGCCCTCGCGGGAGCGAAGCGAGGGCGGCTTCGCAGCTGTTTTTGCCTGGGCAAGCGGCTGCCCCGTCAGCTTCGCCTTCGCCTTCGAGTCTGCCTGTACCCTCGGGGGCGCCTCGGTCGCCGCGGCCCGCCCCGAGTCTAGGCGAGAGCGAGAGGCCACGAGCTCCTTCGCGCACTCGCCCTGAGCTGACAGCCACCGAAGGCCCACCAACGGCGAGAACAGGCTGCGAGCCACTCGATCCGCACGCAGCCGCGCCACGCGCGTCAGGGGGCCACCCAAGCCCGCCAGGACCAACACGCAGCCTCGAGGTAGCCGCGGCCCCCCGCCAAGTGGTCCACGAACATGCACTGGCAGGCCAGTAGAGTCTGGACTCGCTCGGCGTCGCCTTCCTCGCTTGCGCGCCACTGCTCGGCCCCCGGCCAAGCGAAGTGGGCCAGCATCTCGCGGAAGAGAGCGCGACAGCCGAGAGGACTGCGCCCCCGAAGTTGCTGTGACATCGACATCGGCGTCATCCTCCAGGCGGGTACCGAAGGCGCGCGCTGGGTTCTCCTTCATCGGCTCGCACGCGCGAGGTCCGTGCTACACGGAGGCCCGCTGCAACTCGCGGCGCCGCGCTACCCCCCGCAGCTGGGCAGACGCGAACACGCCGTCAGACGCGAGCACCGTCTGCGGCTGAGCCCGCCCGGAATCGGGCGCGAGGCCGCTCGAGAGGCTTGCCAGCGTACCGGGGCCTCCCGAAGGCGGACCAGCGCGAGGCCCAGCGTCGAGGACGCGGCCGCGGCGGGCCCGGCGGCGCCCCCCGCGGCGGCCCCCTCGGCCAGCGCGAAGGCCGCGCCTGGGGCGGGCAGTCCAGGGGGAGGCCCGCCCGCGAGGGCCAGCTGTGGAGGCGGCGGCTCCACGACTGCAGCCCGGAGGTCTCGGGGCCCCCCACGCTGCCGCGAGATGGGACTCGGGCGCGCCCGCCCTCGTCGAACCCTCAGCGGTGGCGGGGCGGCTCGCGCCATGACGGCCTGCAGATCCCCAAGAAGGATGCCGAAGCGCGCGGCCTCGTCCTCGAACTGCTGCGGCGCGCCCCCACCAGGGGGCCCGGGGGCCCCGCGGAGACCCGCCCAGCGTCGGCGCCTGGTCTGGGGCCAGCGCGGCCGCCCGAGCAGCCAGCATAGCTCGCATCTCAGCGTCGCCTTCTGCCCTGGACATCGGGGTTCCGTCGCCCAGCGCTGCAGCAGCCCGACCGCGGGCCGGAAGTGGGGAGGCACCCGCCTTCGGAGGCGGGGCGGGCACGCCCCCGGCCGCGCCGGGAGGCGACGCTGCCAGGGGAAGGGCGGCTTCGGAAGCACGCGCTCGCGCTCTCCATCGGCCTCCGCCCCTGGGCCCCAGAGGGAGCGCCTCTTGCCCACTGCTTCCGAGGCCGCGCGGTACGGCGTCGCCCGCTCGGCCCCCGGCAGGGCCTCCTCGCCTTCGCCAGGCGGGGCCCCTCAGAGCTCGGCGAACCGCTCGCGCAGCAGTCGAACCCCCGCGCCGTTCCGAGGGGCGCCAGGTCGGCGGGGATGACCGCGGGGAGAGATAGAGCGACTCCAACTCCATGTCTCCGATCTCCAGATCGATCATAAGGACGGAAGCCGCGGTGCTCAGCGCCCGCGCAGCCGCCCCCTGGAGGGGGACGGCCCCAACAGTTCTGCGAAGCCCTCCGCCTCCGCCGCAGTGAGCTCGTCTGCAGTACGGTAAGCCACAGGAAGAGCCAGCAGCACGCCACCCTCTCGCGTAGCAAGAGGAATCGCGGCGAAGCTGCGGCCGTCATCGTCGGACCGCCACTTGTCGTACCTAACGGCCGACGGCGGCTCGAAGGGATGGAGGTCGGGTCAGACAGGGCCCTCGGGCACAGCGAGCTCTTAGGCGGCCACACCTGGGCGAGCCGAGCTGCACTGGGGCAGCGGGTCGCGCGCGGCGAGCCAGACGCGGGCTCGTCGGCTCGCGCGCCGCGGGCGGGCCCGCGCGGGCGGCCCGAAGGCCGACCAGAGGGGGCCACCCCCCGAGGCGGCGACGATGGCCTGAGGGCCACCGCCGCCGCGCCGCGCTGGGCGGCTTGTGGGCCAGGCCCGCGCGCCAGGGCCACGGCACGCCGAGCGCCCCACGCAAACGAGCGAGGCAGGCGCTCCACCGGCGAGCCCCAGGGCCCGCCCGGCAGCAGCCTCCGCAGAAGCTGCAGCAGGCGGTCGCCCCCAGGAGGGAGAGAACCGTCGCGAGCAGCAGGGGGGGCGCCCCGCCGCTCGAGTCCACCGCCAGCCCGAGGCAGACGGCGGGGCGGGCCGCGGCCGCCTCGAGGGCGGGGCGCTGCGCCCCCTCCCCGAGGCCCACGCCCTGGGACGGCCGGGAGCTTCCAATCGTAGAAACCTTCTGGTCCGCCAGAGTACGAGGTCGGCCTGCGAGCCGCTCGAAGAGCCCGGCTCGCAAGCCCTGATAGAGCACAGCCCCGCCCGCCTCCACCAAGGCCCCCGCGACGCGCTGCATCAGCGGGCCGCGGGCCGAGGGGGGGGCGGCGCTCAGGGGCCGAAACACTGCAGAAGCCGCAGAGGGCGAGTCACAGAGAATATGAGGATCGACCTGCAACAGCTCCACTGATGGAGGACGAGTCGTTTTCAAAATGTGGATCTCGCCTTAGCGCCGCGAACATCCGTCTTAAAAATTGGGGACAGGTCGTTTTCAACATGCCACTATCGCTCTAGCGCCGCGCACACTCGTCTTAAAAAGATGCAAACGTTTCACGGATGGGGGTGGGTCGTTTTCAACATGTGGCTCTCGCATTAGCGCAGCGCACATTCGTCACAAGACAATGCAACAGTTTCAATGATGAAAGGCGGCTCCTTTTCAAAATGTGGTTATCGCCTCAGCGCCGCGCACATTCGCGTTAAAGTTTACAACTGTCTCAAGGATTAGCATGACCAGCGTCCCACACTTGGTGTGTTGACACGATGTCAGACTGTCAGGGCGCAACGATTACGCTGATTCGTGATCTTGAAGTCCCAGAAATGGTGTTCTCTCACGATTCAGGATCGACAAGACACAACAGCAACGGTGATTCGCGGCGTTGGAGTCCCAGGAGTAGGGTTCTGGCACTATTCAAGATGTTCAAACGGTTGGTTTCCAATGGTGCACTTCCTTCAGTGCAAATGAACCCGTATATGGCCTACGCAGAAGGAGCTTGGAGGGAGGATGTATTGCAACGTCGTTGGTGAATCTTCGGTGTACTCTGGTCCTCCTCCTACACCTCCTCCTCCTCTTCCTCCTCTTCCTCCTCCACCTCCTCCTCCTCCTCCGCCTCCTCCGCCTCCTCCTCCTCCTCCTTTTCCGCCCCCAAGTGTTCACCCAAGGGGTGCAACATCGGCTGGCCAGACTTCGGCGCAACGTTTGGTCGCATGGGGGTTTCCAAAGGCAGGGGAGAGCGGCGATTCGCCGTGGGCGTCTTCGATAGCCAAACAAGTATGGTCATGGTGCGAAGTCTGCGTTGAAGGCATACATGCTTGCACTGGAACGCCACTCGCACGGCGAATGGTCCAAGATGCACCGAGGAACTGCAGAACGTACAACGCTCAAGCAATTTTCGATGGGGCGCGGCAGGAGAGAGCAGCAGGCGACGCAGCGAGCACACGAGCATACAAGTGACATCTGTTCGAACAGAAAACACTCGAATGATCTAGCGAGCAAGCAAACGAGGGTATCAAGTCGGTGAGCAGAGAGACGTACGAGGTGCAAGCATCACATCCACACATGCACGGACACACATCCATCCAAAACCACAGAAGGGTGTGCACCCATCCCTCCGCGAGGC